ATATATATATATATATATATATATATATATATATATATATATATATATATATATATATATATATATATATATATATATATATATATATATATATATATATATATACAAAAATACAAAATTTCATTTAATTAAGATTAATAAGAATTTTGAGAATTTTTTGGAATTTTTTCGACACTATGAGAACAGTAAAAATTAATTTTAAAAAAGGAGGAATTTGCGATTTTGATGGCCGAAATCTTTTAGAATTTAATTCTAAAGGAGTACTGTTCGTCGATTTCTTTTTTGATTTACACAAATTTTCGGATCAATTTAAAACATTAGCTTTCAAGCTTACCTAACAAGCTGAAATAGTTACCACTATACTGCAACTAGTATTGCATTCCTGAAAATCAATAAACACAACAAAAAAAAAAAACAACAAAAAAACTAGCAAGACCATTATACCTATGCCTATTATATCAGTTAATAAAAATAAGAATTCCTGACAACAGCGCCAATTTAATTCGTTGTCGCGCACAAGTCAAAAACGAGTAAATTTTAAATGCAGTTACGGAAACAAAAACTCGAGTATCGTATCGCGAGGATTCTTGTATTATTATTAACTAATAGGAATCGAATTGGGGGGAGGGGTTGGTTTTAGGTTTGAATTATAAAAATAGATTAAAATAAGTGATTATTCAATAAGCTAAAACGGCTAATCCTACTGATTCGGGTTCTGACTTATCATCGGTTATAATAACACCAATCCTTAAACAATTTTGATCCTATTCGATTATAAGATCAACCAGACAAGCGCTTATCAAAATCATACGAATTATGTTCCTGTTACCGGATTAAGCAAACAGTTAAGAATATGACGAGTTAGCGAATTAAGCAAACAATAACACACAATTAAATTTAGGAACGTGCATACAATATAATTTAATCAATTTTATCCTATGAACAACAATTAAATTAAGCAAACAATTGCAATACAATTAAGCAAATGATTTCATAGAGAAGGATTGAACATAAATCGAATTTAAATTGGTATTAGAATAACCTCAAAGTAATGGAACTCGTAAGCAGCAGGATTTGCCTTCGGGAATTAGTTCTCCATAGAAAGCGTACAAAGCAAAATATTTTTTGTGAATATTGTGTAACAAACTCTCTAGCGGCTGCAAGCCTTATAAAATAAAATAAGGGTTTCCACTTACAAAATGAACTGGGTCAAAAATTACAAACCAGGCTCATAAAATTGACCCAAAATAAAATGTATCTAATGCTGCAACTTCAACTAATTATTCAAGTCTGCTACAGTCCGAACTAGTTTCTGGATCCAACATGAAAGTTGTAGCTCTTTCTCTTAGCTTTCCAATGTATATTAGAATGCCTCAATTCAATTGTTGTAGCTCTTGTTATGAATTTTTCAATGAAAGTTGTCAATTCTAAAAATTAAATACGAAAATTAAATTAAACCAAAAATAAATTAAATTCAAAAAACATTATAACACATAAAAATAAATAAAATAAAACATAGAAATGCTTAAGTACAAAAATAAAAGAATGTGCATCAAAATGCACTGATCAGTGTAACACTTGGGATGAAAGAAGAAGTTTGATTGAAATTTTATATTTGAACTTTTGTAAGTTGATCACTCCCTTAGGTTTAAGCAAGTTTTTGTTTCGATTAGCTTTAGGAATTACCCCATGTTTGTTAACCAAGCCACAATATAAACTTGAAAAGCTCTTGTGATTCTTGTCTTTGTATGTTTAATGTGAATTTTAGATGAATGCGTAATTTAGTCTTTTGTTTGAAAGATTGTTGGATGAGTGTAAAATCCTTACCTTTGTGTGTTTTTCATCCCTCAATGAATTTTTGTTAGGCGTGGTTCATGATTGAGCTTGTTTTGTTTTATAATGTTTTGCATGATTTTTGTACTTAGAATTTGTTTCATTCTCATGTTGTCATTGTAAGATTGTGGTAAGTGTTTACTTTGCTTGTAAATTTTTTATTTGAACCATAAATTTGTTTCTTGTTTTCAAAACTTGTTAATTCATGATTGTTTGGTTGATCACTTTTGTTTCTTTAGTTTATTTGACTTTGTTTGAGGATAAACAATATTGTAAGTTGGGGAGAGTTTGATAAGTGTCATTTTGTAGTTATTTTGTATGTAGTTTTGTGGAACATATTGACTCTTGTTTGTTAATATTCGTTGAATACATTTCAACTTTTGTATAAATACATTTAGTTTGTGTATAATTGAATTTTTTTGTAACTAGTGTATCATTTGATTGTTTTCCATTCATTTTATAGGTATTTGAGCAATTTTGGAGCACTGAGTAATAAAAGCTCCAAGATGCATGTTTTGATCGAATAAAGGAAGAAGGCAAAGAACGAAATCCATGGAAAAAAGTAAAAAGTGTTGTTTTGTCACTAGCGTTGGGCAACGCTGAGGCGGTGACAAGATGTTGTGTGTGTCGGCACTAGCGTCAGGCGAGGCAGGGGCGGTGTAAAAATAGGAAAATCATGTTGCTTATGTCTTGTGCTCACGTCTTGGTCGCCGGACGAGACTTTAGGCCGTCGTCTGGCGGTGAGTTTGAGCGCAGGGTGATGGTAGATATTTTTGGCCAGTTTGCATACGTGGCACAAGCTGAGTGGGCCAATAAGGGAGCAGCGTCGAGCGGTGCGTTTGAGCGTCGGACGGTGCGTGTCTGAACCAAAATTCTGTATTTATTTCAATTCATTTCATTTTTTAGGGTTATGGTTTTGGTAGTGTTTTTTTTCTCCCAACTCTATCAACTCATTTTTTGGTAGATTAGCTTAGAAAACAACAATGGAGCTTGCATACGAATGATCCGGGATGGATTTCTTATCGATCGACACTGGCAAACCGAGAGATTTATGGTTCATTTCTCTTCTTCTCTATGTATTCTTTATTTGTTGGGTTTTGTATATGTATTTACTTTGAACTCATGTATATTTATCGCTCATGGCATTATATAAATCTTATTTTACAAATCTTTGTCAATTATTATCTTGGATTTTTGCTATATATTTTGGGGTTTTGGTTGATATAGACATATACTGCTCAAATTCTTATCTAAGATGATTATCTAATAGTGTCTAGATTCTATATATAGATTTAGAGCTATTATTCACTTGGGTGTTTGTGCTTAATGCCCCTATGTTGGTTGTGCTGTGCTGAGAGATCGTCAACGCGAGTAACATGGTTGTCTTATGTGTTATTGACGTTGGTTCAGTGATCCCCTCTGAGATGATACAATGCGTGTTGTGGTTGATACGTGATGATATTGATTAGTATTGTTGGTTGAGTATAATTGGTCGATAGGTGTAAGTTTGTGAGGAGTTGATTATATGCATGCTTGATAAGTTTTTTCTCTTCGAATTCTTCTGTTAATAACTTTAATTTCCGCATTTACTTTAAACTCATTCTAAACCAAACTCAAGAACGCGAGACTTGTCGAACGATAATTCAGTATCACTAATCTCTGTAAAAACGATATGATATAACCTATAAATATACTTATTTTTACTTGTCATTTTACCGCTTCAACAATAAATTAAATATTTTGTGGTATAACTGCATAGCCATGCCTTTTCAAATGAAAATGATAAATACATTTATAGCATAAATAATGTACATAATATTTGTTGTTAAAGTATTAATAATTGAGTCATACAGCAAAAGTAATGTGCATGTCATGACTTCTTATCTCAACCATCAAGAGACAAAATTTATGTTTTTTTAACCAACATTTGCAAAATGTGATCACATGTTTAAATTATGATATTGTGTAAACAAAATGTATGATTTATGAATTTGTGTTAAAAATATACATGTTATGAGGCAGCTTCTTATATTAATATGCACAATTTGTGTTATATAAATAGTTCTCCATCTCTGTCAAAAAATAAATAACTCATTTGCTAAATTTTTGAGCTTTGTGTTGTTAGGTTTCATTTTTAATATTTCATTTACAACAAAAAGATTTTTCACAAGTATTTCTCTTTTCATCTAAATTATTTTGTTTTTATTTTTTTCATTACTTTTATTTGGTAAGCCAAAAACTTTGAAACGTGAGAATATACAGAGACTTTATTTATTTTGTTATTCTTTTTTTCTCACATTTTTTTGTTTGTTTTTAATAATCATTTGATGGGGTGACTCGTTTTTTAAATAGTTTGAGTTATTGTTTTAAAATGGTTAGTAACATATTATTTTGTGTTACTAACAAATTGCACAATTTCAAAATAAAATAAGAATCAATTCCAATAGACTATTTTAAAATAAGAATAAATTCTTTAGTGTTAGTAATGGAATTTTTTTCTATTGTCTATTGAAAATCAGTTTATTGATAAAAATATACATATTATGATGATCCTTATTGTTAAAAAATACATATTTTGTTTCTTATTTTAAATAAACAATTTCAAAATAAGAATAATTCTTTTGTGTTAGTAACTAATTAATATTATCTATTGTCTATGTAAAATAAGAATCGATCGTAAAGAAAAAATCAGTTTCAATAGACAAAATAATTGATTTTTCAATTTTGAAATTGTTTATTGAAATTGTTTTTTTTTCATTAAGATTTCTTGTTATTTTAAATTATAATTATTGTTTTTGACTTCAAAGATAATATTTATACTGAAACTTATTATTTAAATTTATTTATTCAAAAAAATTTTCACTTCTAACTTCTTGTAAGTTGTAACTAAAATTAATTTTACATAATTAAATTTATTTAAAATTAGTAAATTTTCCTTCATATAATCATAACACTAAATTGATTTGTCTAATATTTTATCTTTTCCCTAATACTTCAATTGTCTTTTTTAATATTCCAAGTATTAAAACTTTATTTATTTTAAATTTTAATGTCTTAACCTTTTTTTATTATTTGATTGTCAACATATTAAACTTTATATATTTGTTTATGCTTTCCTTTTTGTCATAGTTTGTTTAATGAAATGAGATTTCTTTTCTTATGTTAGGATGAGGACAGAAAGGAACATACAAACTTTTAATGGCAAAAGTACTTTACTTGGTAGGAATTTGATGAAGCATCAACTTGGTGGAGTCATTTTTGGATGCACAAGACATACAATGAAAGAATGTCTATCTAAGCAACTCTTTGGTTAGTAATATACTAATTGCTCCTATGCTAAGTTATGTTTGGTTCGATATTTGTATCTACTAGAATCAATTTTGAGTTAGTTAAAAATTAATTAATAAATAATTTTTTATTAATATATCTAAACATAATTTATTTAATTTTAGTCAAAATTATTTTTTGTTGCCACAATTAAATACGAGACTAATATGAGTCTGAAAACTTAACCTAAGAATGATATTTTGCAATAGAAATTTGACAATTCTTCCACATGTGCAACAATAAGTTGTGTTTATAGGAAGTGTTTTAAAAATGAAATTCTCATTTTTAAGCATATAAAATAATTTCCTCTAATTGATTCTTGAACTAATTTATCACTTATAGTAACTTATGAGAACTTTTATTGTTTTGACAGGCTTACCAGCTCAACACTTTTCATATGTTGAAAATATTAATCCAAAGATGCCTTTATTTCTATTCAACTATAGTGATAGGAAGCTTCATGGAATTTTTGAGGCAACTAGCCATGGAAAAATGTTTATAGACCCTTATGCATGGATTAATGATGATTATACCGATGAAACACAATATCCTGCACAGGTATCGTATGTTGATTATTGTGTAGATAATAAACTCTAATTCATAAGGTTTAAAATAATTGTGATTTTTGATATAAATGTTCTTTGATTATAAATGCTTAAGGTAAAAGTTCGTGTTCGAGTTCAGTGTCATCCGTTATTAGAAGATAAATTCGGACCAGTAATTAAAGAGAATTACTATCTTAATAATCATTTTTGGTTTGAACTAGACCATACACAAACAAGTAAATTAATGTATTTATTTGTATCTACTGCCAAAGCTACTAAAATACCAATACCACAAGGTAACATAAACCGGAGAAGTGAATATTCATCTTCTCCATACAAAATATTAAAGAAAGGTGAATTATTAGAAACTTATGAATCTCATACAATGTATTTTATTTATTCAAATAGAAAATCAAATTACATATTAATGTTCTTTAATGTTCTTTTATTTTTAGATGGATTGAACCAACCATTACGAACTGACTCAATTAGAATAGAGGTAAAACATGATGAAAAAAATCGTGTATATAAGAAACTATTAGAATTGGTTCTTGAAAAGAAAAATCAAGATCCATCTTTGATAGACAATGTAAGAGAAGCTCCTGATGAGAGAAAGATAAAGGATTATAAAGACACATCATTGAGTTTAAGAAAGAAGGGAGAAATTTGCACTTCTTCATTTGAGAATTTATACACTTTAGTACAGGTTGATAATTTTGGTGAATTAAAATATTTTAAAAATTATAAAATAATTTTATTTATATTTAATTAAATTTAATTCATTGTTTTAGTCGGTGCAACAACGGATTAAAGAACAAAAATTTTTTCAAAAGACTCAGTCGTTCGAGAATGGTGATCTAAAACAAAAGCCGGTACAATCTCATTTTCACTAAAGTGATTAAAAAAACTTTGTATAACATTTAAATTTTTAGACTAAGATTTGCATTAACTAGTTTTCAAAGTTAAAAAACTTATTCCATTAAAAAATTTATTTCTCAAATTCAAAATCAATTGTCCATCACTTAAAAACAGAGTCATGGTCATCATTTGAAGCCACCCTTAACATTTGATACCTTCAATTTGTACTTAGTTTATGTTTATATCTATCATATACCATGTTCATCATAAGACTATTGGTTTTTTTATTTTGTCATATGAAGGTTTCCTTGGAAAGTCAACAGAAAGATGATGATACTATGTCTAGATTCACAAATGTGGAGAAGAAGATTATCCAATCAATATTATCCAAGAATGCAACCAAATCTTGTCAACCATTGAACTTTGTAGGTATATACACTACACAAGTACGATTGAAAGGTAATTTTTATTTTTATTTTTTTACATGAAAAATAGTTATGTTTTGTTTGACATATGTGAGATATCGATGATTTTTAATTTTATTTTTATATATCTTCATCTAAATTAATTTCTTTATCAATCTATACACTTGATTAAAATTTATTTCAACAATATTCTGTGTGCAGTTTCCAGTACTATAAATGGACATAAATGCTTCATAAATGTTGAGATCTTTAATTTAGATTATGGAAGGTGGATCTCTATAAATTCAAATTCAGATAAGGTAAAGTAAATTATTTTATAATTGTATAAGGAAATATTAAATCAAACTGTACATATATTTCTATTTAATTTGTTTTATGTTTTGAAAAGTATATAAAAAATGATGAATTTTATTGTCATTTATATTCTCAGAAATTTAATCTTGCTGAAATGGAACTCAATGATTCACTTCATGTCAATGGTGGATATAATGGATTTGACTATTTGAAGTAAGGTTTTAAGTATTGTTTTAATTGTGATAGAAAATATTGTGTTTCAACTTTAGAATAAACATCTTCTAAATGTAGCAAATATATCATAAAAAGATTTTTTTTTATTTTAAATGGAGTAATCTTTTAAAATCACAAATGTGTAAAATTTAAAGATAAAAATTTATGCATAAAAAAATGTTGACATTATGTATCAAAATTTTATTATTGACTTTATAGGTATACTATAGATGGCATTGATGAATGCACAAGTGTTCCATATATGGATTTCTTCGATCCATGTTTTGAGGCAAGGATGAAACTCATGAATTTTCTTGAGAATTTTTCTGATGCTAAAGATTTTAAGAAGCCTATGAGATTGAGGGAGTCTAAGTTTTTGAAAACTTTTTAAATAAAGTAAGTATATATTATTATTTGGTTAAGAACTACAAAGAAATTTGGTTCTTCTAGTATTATTTTTAACTGAAGCTGCTCCATCAATTTAACATACTACTATTTATTTCTTGTTTGCAGTTAATTGAAGTTGCTACATCAATTAAAACTTATTTGGAATAGCTACTACATTAATTTCAAAATAAATATAGTAACTTTTTATATAATTAATAGTATATAAAATTATATGAACATATGATGCTCTTAACAAAATATGTGAACATATGTTTTTCTTACTATTCTAAATTCTGTTTTAGAGGTGTGCTATTTTTCTCTTAGACGAGTTGAAATCACTCTTAAAGAATTTTAATGATAATTGTAATTGTAATAACTGATTGTTGAATATTTTATTTTTGTAATAATTTAGTGTATTTTCAATAAAATATTTAAATATAGCTTGTATAAACACTACTATATATATTACATGTTAAAAATATTTTTTATCATAATCCTCTTATAGGTAGCCAGTCACAAATTCGTATGTATTATTTTTCTGGATGAATTGTAAGTTAGAAGAAGTCTTTAATGTTTTGTGTTCTTTTAGTTTGAATTAAATATATTTTTTACTCTTGCAATTTATCTTACATAATATTATTGTTGTTGTATTTTTGGAATAATCTTTCGATGTTGTCAATTAAAGAAAATAATATTGATTTTCTCGGTTGACAATCTTGAGAAATATATTCCTAAATATACTGTAAAAAATAGTGACTAGTAAAAAATTAAAGGATTAATATGTTTTTTGTCCTCCAAAATGTCTCATATTTAATTTTTAGTCCATCAAATAATTTTCTTCAAAGAATGGTCTTCCTAAAAATTTTAGTTTTAACTTTTGGTCTCTCCTACAACTTAACGACGATTTTAACAACTTAGCGACAAAATTAGCGATGATTTTTTATTTAGCGACAATTTTAGTGACGGTTTTGACATGAAGGACCAAAAGTTAAAATTAAAATTTTTAACAGGACTATTTTTTAAAAGAAATTTTTAAAGAAACTAAAAGTAAATATGAGATATTTAGGAGAACCAAAAACATATTTAACTCAAAATTAAAATTGAAACATGACAGGTTACCTTCAATTCTTTATCATTCACCATATTTTTCTTGAAACTTATTACATCAGTTTTTTACTAAAACCGAAGGATTTCCTTATTTTATTTTATTTTTTTAATTAAAAAGAAAAATATTTTTCCTCTCAATTTTTTAACAAAATCTAGGGATCTTGTTATACACTTAGAATAATGAATTTCTCTCCTACATTCATAAAGGAACAACATTCATGATATTGCTAACACATCAATCCACAACAAACTATTACATCCACAACTATATATTTTATTCTCTGTCTTATGAAAGTATTTGCTCAGGATAATGAAATATTTGTTTTAAGTTAAAGAATATTAGAAAAGTTCTCTATGATGGATTGTATGTGCAGAAAATCATTTCTACTTCAAGTTAAACAAAGAAAAGAATTCAACCTTTGAAAAGATTAGAAATTGTATGCACACAAGATATGCAACAAAATCTAGAATAACAACGACAATGATGAATCTAAATTTGTTGTAATCAATATATTTTAATATTCTATGTAAAAAAATAATATTTAAAAAAAAGCTTATTTACCTCGGTTTTTTACTAAAACCAAGGGGCAAATTGTAAACCACTACAAGAAAAACCTGATTTAGCTTGGGGCAAATGGCTAGGGGTTAAGCCCCTAGCTAAATTTACCATTAGCTTGGGATAATCCCCTATCAAAATAACATAAAAAAAATTTAAAATTTGGTGTGGCTAGGAGCTCCCTGTAGCTAAATTTTAGGAGGGAATTTGAAAATAAATTCGTTCGATGCTTGCGAGGGGGTGGCACATGGGAAAAAGGAAAGACATTTAGCGAGGGATTATCACCTCGCCATAAATAATAGTCGTTGGCCATTTGCGAGAGACAATCACCTCTCTAGAAAAATAGTACTTTTGTGAGGGGCTAACTCCAAGCCCATTTTCACATCACTTCCTGTCGTGCTGCATCTCTGAACCGGCTTGCGTGTTGCAGTGGGGCAACAATTGTTGGCAGCTAGCGATGAGCTAGCTCCAAGCTAATTATGGTATCGTTTGACAGCTAGCGAGGAGTTAACCCCAAGACAAGTTTGGTACCGTTTACCACTTACGCATTATATCTTCTTCTTTCTCTTTCATTTAAGCAGTTTTCTTCCAGCCTCTCTTTCTCTCTCTCTCTCAATTTCTTCTTCTTCTGCAACTCCCTTAACTTCCTCTTCTCCTTCATTTTTCTCTCTCTTTGGTTTAAGTATGTATTAGATTTAGTTGATATATATATATATATATATATATATATATATATATATATATATATATATATATATATATATATATATATATATTAAGTTAATTATTATTCTGAAAATATTTTATATATTTTACATATTTTTTTATTCCGAAAATATATTATATATTATATATTTTATTATATTAAATATTATATTAAAACAGTTTATATATATATATATATATATATATATATATATATATATATATATATATATATATATATATATATATATATATATATATATATATATATATATATATATATTATATATATATATATATATATATATAATTATATATATATATATATATATATATATATATATATATATATATATATATATATATATATATATATAATATATATATATATATATATATTATATATATATATATATATATATATATATATTAAATTTTTTATTTCGAAATATATTATATATTATATATTTTATTATATTAAAACAGTTTATATATTTAATTATATTAAATAGTTTATATATTATATATTATATATCATAAAAACAGTTTATATAAAAACGTATATTTAATTTATATAAAAAATATCAAATATTTAGTTATTCTAGATAATAATATATTTTTTATATATTTAGTTTATATCTAATTTAAGTATTTAGTATATTTAATAAATATTTAGTTTAAATAAAATATAATATATTTAATTTATAAAAAAAACAGTTTATTTAGATTATAAATGATATACTTAGTTATTTTAGAAAATATTATATTAAGTTTATATAAAAAAATTATATTTAGTTTATATAAAATATAATAAATATTTAGGTAATCTAAATGATAATATATTTAATTTATAGAAAAAATAGTATATTTAATTTATATCTAATTTAAATATTCAGTATATTTAGTAAATATTTAGTTTAAATAAATATAATATATTTAATTTATATAAAAAACAGTTTATTTAGATTAGAAGTAGTATACTTAATTATTTTGAAACACATTATATATTTAGTTTATATTAAAAAAAAGTATATTTAGTTTATATAAAATATAATAAATATTTAGTTAATCCAAATAATAGTATATTTAGTTTATAGAAAAAACAGTATATTTAATTTATATCTAATTTAAATATTTAGTATATTTAGTAAATATTTAGTTTAAATAAAATATAATATATTTAATTTATATAAAAAAATAGTATATTTAATTTGTAAATAGTTTACTTAGTTACTTTGGAAAACAATATATATTTAGTTTATATAAAAAAGGTATATTTAGTTTATATAAAATATACCAAATATATAGTTAACTATATAATATTAATATATTTAGTTTATAGAAAAAACAGTATATTTAGTTTATATGTAATTTAATATTTAGTATATTTAGTAAATATTTAATTTAATTAAAACATAATATATCTAATTTATATAAAAAATAGTATATTTAGTTATTTTGAAAAATAATATATTTAGTTTATATGAAAAAAGTATATTTAGTTTATATAAAAAAAGTATATTTTGTTTAAATAAAACATAATATATTTAATTTATATAAAAAAATAGTATACTTACTTATTTAGTATATTGTATTATTGATAAAACCAATGCATGATTATAGTTATTTAGTATTCTTATTTAGTTTAAAGTATATTTATTGATAAAATCTTAAAAATTTGTTGATATATTATTACTCCCCTTTTTGGTCTAATAAATTTAAACATAAATAATGTTATAAATGTGCAGTATGGAATATTATCAATTATATCGTAGTTGGATGTATGATAGAATGTTTCCGGGAAGACATGGGCTTAAACCACAATTTAAGGAAGGACTTGATATGTTTCTCAATATGCGTTTACTCATGAATGGTATCTTAGAGATAGAGGGGTAAGATGTTCATGCTTAAAGTGTGGTTGTAGAAATATAATCAGTGACCGTAGTGAAGTGAAACAACACTTGGAGAGAGTGGGGTTTATGCCAAATTATTGGGTTTGGACATCTAATGGAGAAAAATTTCCAGAAATGAATATGGAAGCTTATAGCAATCAAACACATGTTGGACCAGACAAAGATATAGATGGTTCGAGTAGTCAAGCACAAATGCAATATCAGGAGCAATTTAATCTAGTAGAGGATATGGTAAGTGACGCATTTGGGGTCAATGTGGCTTACGATGAACCTGAAGAATTTGACGCGGAAGAGCTTCCGAATGAGAATGCATAAAAGTTTTATCAATTGTTAAAAGAGATAAATATACCATTGTTTGAGGGATCTTCTGACTCTAGGCTCTCAATGTGTGTGAGATTCTTGGCTGCAAAGTCAAATTGGAATATGTCAGATTAGTGTTTGGAGTTCTTTGCAAAAATGATGTTGGATGCGACTCCTGTGAAAGAAAACATGCCTACAAGTTATTATGATGCAAAGAGGATGGTGTCAAACTTGGGATTAGAAGTAAAAAAGATTGATTGTTGCGTTGGAGGTTGTATGCTATTCTATGACAATGAGTTTGGCACAAATGATGGGACTTTGGAGGAATGTAAATCTTGTAAGAGTTTGAGGTATTCAGTTCGCAGTAAAGGCGTTGATTGAAAGCAAAAACGAGTTGTAGTGTAGTCAGTGTTATATCTGCCA